AAAAAAATAAATTTGATCATAGAAGTTAAAATTTATTTCTACCATGGTAATGTTACACCTGTGGAATGAAACACCTTCCCTCAACAATCATTAGGTTTTTCTCAGAGTTGTTTGAAACTGTTATTTCAGCTAAAAATGAATTTTAAAATAAGCATCCTAAAAATTTTCTCTTTTTTTAATGTTTATTTTTGAAAGAGAGAGAGTGCACAGAGGGCACTAGTAGGGGAGGGGCAAGAGAGAGAGGGGATCTGAAGCGGGCTCCATGCTGACAGCAGAGCTGGATGTGGGACTTGAACTCACGAACCGTGAGATCATGACCAGAGTCACAGTCACTTAACCAACTGAGCCACCCAGGCGCCTCTAAAAGTATTCTTATTTAATAAATATAACAGTATGTAAACAGTAAAATTCAGGAAAATTGGGTTTGTTTTGTTCAAATAAATCATGCTGATGTGAAGAATTCATCAGGAAAGGTAATGATTAAAGACAATTATAAATATGCTTTTTCTTGGGGCACCTGGGTGGCTTAGTCGGCTAAGTGTCTGTCTTTAGCTCAGGTTATGATCTTGTGGTTCATGAGTTCGAGCCCCACATCGGGCTGTGTGCTGACAGTTCAGTCTGGAGCCTGCTTCAGATTCTGCATCTCCCACACTCTCTGCCCTTCCCCTCTCTCTCTCTTTCTCAAAAATAAATAAAAACACATAAAAAAAATTTTTTTTAAAGATTTAAATATGCTTTTCCTTGGGACACTTGGGTCTCTCAGTCAGTTAAGCATCTGACTCTTGATTTCAGCTCAGGTCATGATCTCACAGTTCGCGGGTTCAAGCCCTGTGTAGGGTTTTGCGCCTGTTTGGGATTCTCTTTCCCTCTCTCTCTCTCTCTCTGCCCCTCCCCTATTTGTGATTGCGTTCTCTCTCTTTCTCAAAATAAGTAAACTTTTAAAATATGCTTTCTCTTAAAGAAAACAATTTTATAAACATTCTGTTACCATTTGTTTTGCCATTATAATGACATTTGGTTTATGTCTTTCTAGTAGCATACTTTTGTCCTTTACTAATTGCGGGTATTTATAGTGATGATGAAATCTGATGCAGTTTGACTCAAGAGAGGATAATTTATAGAGGACAAATAAAATTGCCACTTGTAAAACAATAACTCCCAAATGCCTCATTGAACTGGTTTTTCTCTCCCCTTTTATTTCTGCCTAGAGGGTAACTGGGTTAGGGGACCTATTATCACTGTGGATGTTAACACATTCATGCTTCCTTAAGCATTGACTCAGAGAAACCAGACTGAGGACAGCAAAATCTTAGAACTGTGGCTAAAGACATGCCTTAAAGGTATCCTAGGACTCTGGCTTCAAAAAGAGTACACCTGATTCATTACAGGTAATGGAGAATAAAAAAGACAGTGTGGCAGGGTGTTTTCCAGTATTTGTTAGCAAGCACAATGAATACAAGCATAGCAGGTTTTACTGTACCTTACTCTACTGCTTTGCAATACTGCTTTTTTAAAAACTGAAGGTTGCAGCAACCCTGTGTCCAGCCTGCCCATCAGTTCCATTTTTCCAGCAGCATTTTCTCACCTCATGTCTCTGGGTCACGTTTTGGTAATTCTCACGATATTTAAATTTTTGCTATGGTGATCTATAATACAATGTTACTATTGTATTTCTTGTGGGGCACCACAAACCACACCCATGTAAGATGACAAACTTAACCCAAAAATGTGTGTATTCTGACTGCTCCACCAACCAGCTATTCCCCCACCTCTCTCCCTCTCCTCAAGGCCTCCTTATTCTCTGAGACACGGATTGAAAGTAGGCCAATATTAACTCTACTGTGGCCTCTACGTGTTCAAGGGAAGGCAAGAGTTGCATGTCTCTCACTTCCAATCCAAAGCTGGAAGTGATCAGGCTCAGTGAAGAAGGCATGTTGAAAGCCAAGACAGGTCAGGCTCTTGGAGCAAACAGTTGGCCAAGTTGTAAATGCAAAGGAAAAGTTCTTGAGGGAAATTTAAAACGTTCTTGAAGGAAATTCAAAATCCACTCCACTGAACACACAAAGGGTAAGAAAGGGAAACAGCCTTATTGCTGATATGGAGCAAGTTTCAGCAGTCTGGATAGAAGATCAAACCGGCCCAACATTCAACCTTCTCTTAAGCCACAGCCTAATCTGGAGGAAGGCCCTGTCTCTCTTTAAATCTATGAAGGCTGAGAGAGAGGAGGAAGCTGCAGAAGAAAAGGTGGAAGTTAGCAGCGGTTGGTTCATGAGGTTTAAGGAAAGAAGCCGTCTCCATAACCTATAACTGCAAGGTGAAGCACTCGTGTAGAGGCTGCGGCGGGTTACGCAGAAGAGCTAAGATATTTAAGAAAGGTGGCCACACTAAAAAACAGATTTTCAATGCAGCAAAGCAGCTTTATATTAGAAGATGCTATTTAGGATTTTCATAGCTAGGGAGGAGAAGCCAGCACCTGGCTTCAAAACACAGGCTCTTTTGTTATAAGGGCCACTGCAGCTGGTGGTTTGAAGTCGAAGCCAATTCCTATTGACCATTTCCAAAATCCTAGGGCCCTTAAAAATTATGCTAAATCTACTTTGCCTGCGTTCTGTCAATGGAACAACAAACCCTGGGTGACAGCACATCTGTTTGCAACATGGTTCACTGAATTTTTAAGCCCACTGTTGAGACCCACTGCTCAGAAGAAAAAGATTCCTTTCGGAATATTGCTGCTCATTGACAATGCACCTGGTCACCCAAGAAATCAGATGGAGATGTGCGAGATTAATGTTGTTTTTATGCCTACTAACACAATATGCACTCCGCAGCTCACCGATCAATGAGTAATTTTGGGCACCTAAGTCTTATTATTTAAGAAATGCATGGCTTCAGGAGCACATATGCTAAAATTGGAATGATATAGAGATTATCATGCTCCTGAGCAATGATAACACGAATATTTGTGAAGAGGTCTATGGTTTTTAGAAGTCATGGGAATAAAATACACAACATAAGGAGTATAGTCAATGATACTGTAGTAGCGTTGGTGACAGATGGTAGCTACACTGTGGTGAACATAATGTATAAACCTGTTGAATCACTATGTTCTCTACCTGAAACTAATGTAACATTGTCAATTACACTCAAAAATTTATTAAAAAAATACACTGCATAAGGCTATAGCTTCCATAGATAGTAATTCCTCTGATGGAGTTGGGCAAAGTAAATTAAAGAACTTATGGAAAGGATTCACCATTCTAGATGCCATTAAGAGGATTCCTGATTCTGGGTGCCTGGCTGGCTCAGTTGCAAGAGCATGTGACTCTTGATCTCAGGGTCCTGAGTTCAAGCCTCATATTGGGTGTAGAGATTACCTAAGTAAATAAAACTTAAAAAATAAATAAGGAGCATTCCTGATTCATAGGAAGGGGCCAAAATATCAACATTAACAGAAGTCTGGGAGAGGTTTTTTTCAACCCTCATTGATGACTTTAAGGGGCTCAAGACTTCAGGAGAGGAAGTAACTGCAGGTGTGGTAAGAGCAGCAAGAGAACTAGAAGTGGGGCCTGTAGATGTGACTGAATTGCAGCAATCTCATGAACTTTAATAAAAGAGGA